CCTCAGCTGATGTGTATAATGATGATGATGATGAGTAGTAAGGATTTTGGAATACTTCAGCGGCTGCATAAGCGTCACACCCAATCAGCAGGCGTAGGCTAATCTGGGAAAGCACCAGACACCGGCGTTTCGACCAACTGGGTCGCATCAGTGATGCGCCTCCCAGCATACCCCTGTCGGGTTGCGCCCCAATGACCTCAGGATGCCAGCATCCAGTGCCACTTCGCCATGGGTAACAGTCGCGGACCTGCGCGATTGACAGCTGGCTATGTTGTACAACGGCTTATGTTTTCTAGACTAGCCTAATCATGCTGGTTGAATGACAATGATGAATTAGCTGAATTATACCGAAATCCTCAATACACCTCATGCATGTACAAAAATCTCTCCGAAAAGATTTCATGTCCTCATGCCGTGTCTTGGCGTAATGCGAAAACTCCCAGCTCATGAGACTGTCTACAATCCTCTGCACAGTTCGTAACTGGCATGACAGTGAAGATGTGTCGGGCTATTTCATAGTCAACCGTAAATCATGCATGTCCGTGGCTGTCACCCATATCGAAGTAGCATTATCTCCTGGCATCCGAAATTCATAGGGGGTGGTCGGGACCCGGCTGAGGTGCACTTTGAAGCGCACCACGGACGATACCTAGAAGGTCGAAACGCCGGCGTATGGTCCTTTCTCAGACTAACCTAGGCCTGCTGGTTGCGTGGCAATGATAAATTACCTAACTTATGTAAACAGATCAGTGCACATCTGTAACCACATTTTTACAAGAGAAATGAAGTGGGATGTTTCTAGTAGTACCAACTGAGCTGATTACGAAGATGCTAACCAATGTTTTTCTTACGCCGGTTTTTTATTTCAATATTTTATTTCAACTAACCCTTGCATTCCATGCATCGAATGCCTGTGATTGATCCACTGTCTATCTCTAATGGTCCTAAGGAAGTCATGTTGGCCATGGTATCCACATGACACTGAAGGTCGATTGAGAGTTGCGTTTCCTTAATTGTTATCTTGATCATGGATGAAAGACGCTGCTGTGTCAATGACCGAAATCATTTTTATTATTCTGTGGATAGTTTGCCACAAGTCGCAGTACAAACCTAATATTTTACTACTGGATTCCGACTATCACGCATATTTCGGGATGAAAATGGGAGATCGGTAGAAAAAGTGTGCGCTGCATATTCTTAGTCTATGTTGCAATCTTCATCTGACTCAGTGGCTCTAGGGCAAATGCAAATGCTCTTTGTGATTCCCATGGGGTGGAAGAAGCCGAAGAATCACTCGACATGTGTCACTTCTGCTTGACCAGTGTCATTTTAATCTCCAACAGAAAATGGACAAAATTCATTAAACCGTTGTTCTATCAGTTATACGACTTGTTCCTCGTGATTACAACTTACCTATTCCGTACCTGTAGCCTAGTGGTAACGAGCTTCTAATCTTGTGGTGCGGGTTCGAAACCGCGTAGGAGTAGGCGTTCTCGCGGAACGCAGCCCGCAAGCAAGTGGTGGTATTGACACGGGATTAAAGCGCCGCTACGGCGTACTTCTGACATATTATTATTTTTAGTGTTCCAGTGCCTTCAGTACACATGTCAAAGATGATGAGTAGTGATCCCACATTATTAATTTTCACTAATTCTGTGAGCTGTGACAAGCTCGAAGCCGATGTTGTCAGCCCACAACTTCCTGAACAATCGAAGCTGAATTAGTTGGTATGTGACCCGGGTTCGCCAAAAGCCAAGGCCGATTTGCTGTATCCTGACTGCAGTAGTGGCACATACTTGCTCCAAATGCTATGCTTAGGGCATACAAAAAGCGAAGCGTTATATTGTCCGGTTTCCATCACACGATAGAAAAGTTTCGTCACTGTTCCGATGTGTAAGGACCGATGAAAGAGATTGGAGTGAGGTAAATCAGTTATGAATGAAGTTTTTCATTGAGTCATCCAAGTGTAGTCTTAAGGCAATACTGCTCCACAATGGGAATGTACAATGTGCCTGTGACACGCCATCCCTATGAAGGATACTTACGAAAGTATAAAATATAAACTCACTGCAGTGATCTACTATAAGTACTGTTGGAACATCTGTGCAGAAGTTAAAGTCATTGAACTCCAGATGCAAGGAGGCGTCACAAAATATTGCTTTTTCTTGTGCTTATGGGACAGTAGAGCAACTCAACAGCACTACACAACCCAAACTTGGACACAGAGGACGGAGTATGGTGCAAGGAAAACTATTGTAAAGCATACAACTTTTGTGCAACCTGCTCAGATCTATATATCAGCCCAGCACATCAAGCGTTTCTTGGTTAACAATTTCATCAATTCCCTCAAACGGAATGCTTTGGCGTTCCAGTACCTGAAACGTGTTTTCAAAAATCATAATGCGAACACCAATGAAGGTGTAATTATGAGGCCGGCTATTCACCGGATAATAGCAGACAGTGCTTTCGAATTCCAGTTAACTTTATTTGAGTAAGAAGCATGTCGATCATTCAATGCAGTGTGTACAGAATTTTTGGACAGCACAAACGCAGTGAACTACAAAGACCTCACAAATTATATAGATTCGTCGCAGTTAGACACAGAGGGACAGCCACCACACATCCAGGAAAGCGCTAGACAACCGTTTCGTCCTATTGGGACTCGTCAGTAGCGCGCACCCGCCGAATCAATTGCGTCGGGGCTGACTGAAATCAATGAGAGTTGTCACGTGAAGTCGTCGAGAATTCCTTTTAAGGCAACCATGAAGAGCGAATATTCAGCTATAACACACACGCGATAGAAACGGTAAAGCGAACAACACCGTAACCTTACAATGTGCGTTTGGCCGTATGATTCCCTTTAGCAGTGAACACACCCTAATAAAAGCTCACTGGTTTGTTGAAAGCCAGCCATGAGGCGATAACAGCTTTTGTGGTGATAACAATACGGCACCCATCGACCGGTCATCACATACGCCCAGGCTGTTTTTCTCACTTGCAAGCATAGCGAGCCACTACTCACTTCGCAGGAAACCCCTTTGCTGGGTTTTCACCTGCGGGAAGGCCGAATACTGAGCGATCGAATCATGACACGTTCACTGAGGCTGTGGTGTCTGACTCACATGCGGTTCTCACAGCCGAACTGCTTGCGTTCCGTTGGTCTTGCCCTGAGGTCGAGGCTTGACGCATTCATTGTGGCTGTGGTGTCTGCTAACGTTCACTTCTCACAGCGATCTGCGATCGTAGGCACACATGTGGCGTCTGTGTCCCAGCTCGCTGCAGCCGGCAAAGCAATTTTCGTCATTAGAGAGTTAGCAATACAGCGCACCGGTGTAGGTCAGCACCTGAGTGCAGCCGCTCCAAGAACCGAACCAGATTAATAAAACACCCTGTAGTGTTTTCTTATATACATCCTAAGAGCTGCCATAATTTATCTATTCTTTTGCTGTTTTCATTGTCATTATTTTGTAAAAGTCACTTTCACGCTTGGAAACTCTAGTGAATCAGGTATGGTGTTTTACTACATTTTTCTATTTTAATGGATATTCTCCGTCGTTGTTTGCTCAAAATATTACTATTTTTGCGCTTTCAATAGTTCTTTTTAGTTTATTGTCTTCATTAATTCCAACGAGTTATGCTTTAGCTTCAAGTTTTGTATTTGAAATATTCCGTTCTCCGGTGTAAACTCCTAGCGGCCTTGCATTTACTTAATGATTTCCCCATTCAGTAAATTTTTGCACACAATTGCTTAATACACTTGATTTTGCAACACATCCACTAAACCATGATATATTCAGAAGTGCTTTAATGCGGCTACATCAAACTCAAGTGCAGGTATTAATAATAGTGTAACGAACGACTACCTGACTCAAACGAATAGCGATCGATGAGCAAGCCGAGAGACGAGCCAACTATTGGCGACGCTACGATGGTTTCATCCGTATTCAAGTAAACGACATTTATTATAAGAATTATACTAATTCACTAAGAGAACACTGACGATTTATCGCTGATTACCAATCAGTTTTTGTTAGGTAGTTACTAAGACGATTTCGTTTAGATGGTTTTATCCAACTTTTTGGTAACTTAGTGATGATCCAAAGCTTTTTCTTTACATACGGTAAAATCTCAGTGTAACCTTTTTCGCTTAAATATCCCCGTTAAGGACCACTAATCTAGTATTACGGTCCCGATAAATTAATACAGTGCGATTTCTAAACTAAAGAACAAACTGGAGTAGATTTAACGTGGTAAATACCGTGTATATTCGGGATACATTTATCAAGTTTTCTTTGATAAATTTTCGGAATCTGATGACACAGAAGTTAAAAGGTAAATATGAGTTTCAGGCCTAGGTAGCGGCTCTTTCACACCTACTCTATATAGTGTTCCACAAATTAATCTCCCAGGTGACAAGATATTAAAATGAAATGAACCTATAATAGGTGATGAAAATGCGGACATTATTTCCAACTCCCCAGTACATTTAATATATGTAATATGTCACTAGTTTTCACGGTACAAGTAGATCATTTCTAAATTTGAAAGGCTAGGAAATGGTCAGGTATTCAATTTACTAATGGCATTTAATACTTAGCGAAACGCAACGAACCTTGTCCACTTATCTGGGATACCTCAATACGTTTCGCATTATACTTTTCTTGATATAGTCTCGTCCTGTTTTGATTTATATGGACATTATAAAATACGGTTTGTTAGGTTATTTGCCAGTTAATCTCTTCTATGCTAAACCAAGTGTGATGCTAGATTAATGCCGGTGGATGAATGTATAGCTAGCAAGTCCACTTGTTTAAAGCATTAAAGTATTCTGGAGTAAGGGAAGCTGAAACCTTCTTTTTCATTAACCTTATTCCTTACAAAGCATATAGCTTCAGTTGAAACGGAGTATGACTGCTCAGGTTCAGCAACGTCAATAAGCCATTTCCTAAAAAGCATTAGTGACCAACAAGTCCAATATAAATTAAAACGATTCAAATTTTGTAAAATCCAAATACATTTGTACATGAGTAATGGAAACATCACAGCATTGGTTCTGATGGCAATTGCAGAGTACGGTTTCTCTAGATAAAATACGGGGAAGATTCAGGGAAAAGAAGAGCTTGGAAGACCAGGACCTTGGCTTTGGCTTCGTGTGAAGAGAAGACGCGCAGATAAGTATTGGGCTCAGCTGGCAAGTTAAACTTTTCCATTGTAAGGCAGTTTACTCTCCTCTGTCGATTGGCAACACACAGTGCTTCAGTTCGAATAGCGTTCAAAGGATTCAATGTATTCCAATGCACAACAATAACAAAATGCATATTCGCACGGGGTGCGAACGAGGCCTGGACGTTGCCACCTGAGTAGTTTGACGGTTTGAAACATATCGACCACTCCCTCATACCGCATTCGTTCCAGTATGAGGGCAATTGTGAGAAACACGCCGGTGCGACCAGCTCCGTAACTGTGAACAAAAGACAAATGGAGAAGCAAAATGAGAACGCTATACATCACATTGCTGATGTTTCTAGCTCTGGTGTGCCGAATTATAATATAGCTCTGTTCTTAGGATGCTATTTCCTTCTGGTTACTGACCGTAGGTTTAAGTTGCTGTCTCTGCTGTGAATACTTCAGTTTGCGTGAATAGTGAATTTATGTGCTATTACAATCTATGCTCACATGATTTCGATGATATCTATTGTCAAGTCCACCTGCTAAACCTCCCGCCTACATTCCCACAGCCTACATACTAGCATTGAGAGTCTTATGCCGCGCTGCCTCCCAAACCTCATCCCCTATGAGAAGCGGAAATAACAGGACTAAAAGCAAGTTAAGGAAAAGCGCGGTCGTCTCGTAACTCGACGGTACGTAGCGGTTATAAATCACAAAGATGTTGTTGCTTGCCGAGAGGTGGGGCAATTTTATATTATCTAAGTTGATGGGACGTATAGCTGTCAGAGCATGGGGTTCCCCTTGCCAGAGAGTACATGGGTTACACCTCAAGTCGATACTACACAAGGAACACAGCGGTCAATATAGGGAGTATCAGAAATGACGCCTCGCAAGATGGGCGGGCACAAGTACCTATATTACAGCGTAGTATTGGGGGTGAGTGCAATTCATGGGCTGTGCCATGGAGTGGTGTCGAGGTTGTTGTTACGGGACCGAAGGATAATACAGTCACTGGCACCCAATTAGCTGCAGGGGTATTGATATGGACAGGTTGCATATATCTAACATCGAATATGCATATCCACATCCACTTCAGAGTGAATACATTTAAGCAAAATTTTTCAACGGCAGACTCATAATGTCGATGCTACAAACAAAATGACCCACTTTACTCTACTCATGCGCTGTCTAAGATAAGTGGCTATCATATAGTCAACAACTTCCACAGATTTTGTGACAAAATTTTAATGCTGCGCGTTCTCTTTGACATTCATTTAGAAAATTAAGCCTTACCTAACAATTAAACAATCAGCAACTCCATAAAATCTCATGGAAAAGAGGCAAGAACTTGGCACCATGGGGTGTTCATCATTGTGTTCGGTCAGGTAGATCTGGAATATTTATATTATAGTTTTACTCGGTGTCTAGAGTAAATTTACTGAGAATTGCACACATAGTATTACAAGCTGTCTGCATCGCGAGTTAGCCAGATAAATAAATTATTATTATTATTATTATATTGTGTTGTTACATCAACGTTGAACCTACTGTACGTGGAGTAGCTTAACATCATTATTGTAGACTAGCTCGTGCGCATCATGTAGTTATCACAACGTATTGCGCAAGCTGTTTCCTGTTATATTGCAATGAATAGGCTCAATCATGTTATAGTTCTTTGATGCGGACTTACGGTCAGTTACGAATATTCAGTCACAGTCTTGATGACATCAAAACAAAGCATTTCTACTCTCGATCCATGCGCTCTCGTTTCCTGCCTTGGAAAGTTAAGAACCATTTAACAGGTTACAGTAGAAAGCTCGTGTGTATTCAACAGGGACTATGTTGTCGCTTGATCTGTGAGCCCCAGTGCAATCTAGCTTAACATTTCTACTCTGTGTGATGCCCGTACCAGCTGTCCTCTAATGTATAAGCATTCCACCTCAGGTAAAATGGTTTTCACCAGTACATCTGTGTTCGTGTTTACTAAAGTGTCATGTGCACCACAGCAAGAAGCTATTAAAACTTTAAATCTTTTATCAATCGTTTGATATGACATAGGTATTTTTGCAGGGTTGTTAACCAATGGGATGAAGTAGATGACTATATCCGTGGGCAGCATACAGCATTTCTTTTGTTGATGTTAACTATAAATGCTTTTTTCGAGTCACCGTCAATACTCTGTGTTCAGCTTAGTTTACTATAACGACAGACAATGTTATGAATCCAGAATGCGCCAACCGAGTGAGAGGAAAACATACAATTCAATTTGCGCATATCATTTGCAATGAGCCGCAAGCCAATGCTATTGATTTTTCTAGAACGATGTGTAGCTCCGTTATGTACGGTGACTTAACCAGACTTGTCCTTCCCGATGAGGCTAACCGACATAGCAAAGAGAACGTGGAGCTTCCGTTGACTTAAATAGAAATGCTGTGGGTCGTATTAAAGTAAATCAACAGGTGCAAACTCATAACAGTAGCACTACGCTGTTGACTTTAACTTCTCTCTCGAGACCTCAAGCATGGGTTTCAGTCCGCGTATTACAAAATTCATGTTTTGTCAATCGCTGCTGACTCATTTTCGATGGAAAATATTTAATGAAGCGAAGGACGCTGTGGTTGACTTACTTGCAGTGCACTGTGATTGGGCCATCCATACCGAAATGCTCCTTGGTTTTGTGCACCTGAATCACTACCTCCAACATGGATTCACACAGCAGTTGACAAAGTTGTCTGAACCCATTTGAAAATGACTGGTGCTTGATGCCAACTAGACTATCTAGAGTATTGTCAAATAATGCATCAAGTTCAGATCCAGCTGGACGTACACCTAGCTCATTTTCACTGGGCGTCAATGTGTAATTCTGTTCCAAATCAGTCATTCGATCGGTCGTCTGGGTCGCATCAAATTGACGGATGGTACGAGTGGTCCCATCTCTCGTGTCAGTGAGCCGAAATTCCCGCATCACGCAAGTGGCCATAGTGTAGCTGCCGATTGGATCCACAACTAGGAACCCATGTCTAGCGGACTGGATAGTCGGCCAGTAAATAGACTTTGAAGAAAATAAAAGATGTGCACCGTTGAGTGTGATAATAATTTTGAGTGCTTTCGTCGAGAGCATAGCGGACGTAGACCGTGTTATGGGTATGAAGCAACTGTTAAAGGTCATAAAATAGTTGATCTATATGAATTGGCACGGTGGAGTTAGTCAATAGAGACGAGGCATAGGTGGAACGGGATTTAATGCTGTTTACTTATGTGTCTAGAGTGCACATTAGTGCAACTGAAAAGCATAACAGCTCTACATTCAAGTAACTTTACACGTCTATGTATAGAGGTTTGATATTGCTATTGCGGTCATTGTCTATGTGAGCTTTCACTCGCTAGAGATTTCATCCATAAAATCTGGAATTAAACCAGTGGGAGAAAGTTTAGGCAGTGCAATATTTGAAAGAAGAAATTACAGCTGACGCCTAATGTTGGGATTTTCGAAGGCGTAAATAGGTGAAAACCAGAGTATGAATCATTCGTTCAAGCCAACTACCCCCCACCCTAACTTTGTGGAGTGGAGTCTTCCCTATCATTTTCGGTTTCTGTTCGACAAATAGAATTCCTGAAACCACACGTGTTAGCAATGTCAGAGAAAGCAGTAATGCTTGTTCATCTGGTGTGTAGTAACGCAAAACTGACGCGAACAATGAACAATGATTTATGCCGGGTAAAAAAGCTGTTGCTTGACATGTCCAACAGGATGGTGGGGGTAACAGTGCAATTATCAAAAGATAGGTGAGTAATCTGTTTGAACGGTTACCTATCAGATACGCTGATGAAAAATATTAGTGTAGGTGGAAAATGAATGCGAACCACGGGACAAAACGGGGACAATTTTAGTTGTTGTACTAAATGAGAAAAGCAAACAGTAAAAACGAGAATACTCACCTTAGGTTTATATAGCCTGTTAATCCGGTTTGGAGGGATAATTAATATATTCCAAGGTTGCACAGTTTAGGCGACGAAATGCTAGTGGTCAAGTGCAAGATACAATCGTTTTTGAAAATATCCAAGGTGGGGGAATAAACAACGAAGATTTGAGAGAGTTTCATGGTTGGCAAACCCGAAGAGAAAAATTATTCCGCCGGCCTTCCAGGTGGCTATACTGGGCACACAATTTTGGAGGGTTACCTCTGATATTGATGTTGCGTCTTACTTTCAGCAGGTGACCGCATACGTGATTAGGGTCACTCAGTATTTGGTAGACTAATATGAGATCACCGAGCAGTCTTCGACAACGGCCACTGGAAACTCCCAGTGACTTCAGCCTTTGATGGTAGGACAGATTGCGTAGACCCTTAACCCTGTGGCCCTGCTTTGTGCTTTCTCTAGTACCTATGTTCCTGTATCGCACAATTTTCAATTTGACAGTCTCGGCTATTATCTCATGTGGTTTGGTGTGATATGGAACGATAACAGTAAAAATTTTAAATTATTGGGTTTTGTGGATGGTTTCGACATTTATTATATACAAAAGATACACTGAAAGTGCGTAAATTACGAGTGTATGAATCCGAGGGCTACCTACCACGTCTACGACGGGTGGCTCTCCCACCGCTGTTGAGCCTTCTAGCCGCACGATTAAACATGATCCTGTTTCCCAAAGCATGCGCCAGAACTCGTCCACCGTGGTGATTAACGGCGTCTGCGTGGCGATATAAGCAGCTCGCGAGTGATATCCATCTATGTAACTGGCATTGATGTAATCGGATCCCTCCACTCCACGAACTGCTCTTAATGCCACACGATTGGCATCATGCGGGACAAAGTTTTCGTGGCGGTTTTTCCGCTGGTTCACCTGAACAATGTGAAAAAATAAAAGATGGTAAAAGCTTATACCATAAGTCAGTAACAAATTTAAATTTTAAAAAATTCCGATCTTTCCAACACCTGTGCACTATTAAAGTCGTGGAAAACTAGGGCTGGCCTTGTAATAATTTTAATAATGAACATTATTCTCTTTAAGTGAGTGGCTGTATCCACATTAGGCGCAGGTCAAATATGTGCAGCAAGTACTATGCTGATGCACGGGCCACATGAAGTTGTAGCGAATAAAATGCAGCGGTACCAGTTACATTCCAAATGAATCCGACGATTTTCGGTCTACGGCGGAATCACAAGGAGCAGATGTATTAATTTGCGAATTTTCCAAATATGCTGTCAAGACTTTTTGGCCGACATGGCTAATCAATCGGTTAAAACTTTCGGGATGACTGAGGTTTATAAAATAGTTAGCGTAGACAAATCCACATTTAGAATTATAATAATACAGCCATCCACTAAACCGTTTTCTGGAGACCTGATTCTATGCGGGTTATTCCCTTGAAGGATTTCACCCGCGCTTCTATGCCCCATCTGGCCGTGTGCCTGTGTGGTTTTTGAAGCAGGTAAGCCATCACCAATGTAAATTTTTAAGCTGTTGTTCTGTATATTTAGTGTGGACAATAAAGACAACTAGCCCGTAGCAACAACTGGGTTGCGAGTCTAACAGATTTTCTCGCTAGGGAACTAATGTCAATGCACCTTGCGTGGTATAAGTATTGGCGTTAAAAGTTTAATCCATCACCTCAGGACATGGAACCATCCTGTATCCAACAGTGAAATAAAGAAGAATATAATACAGTTGAAGATAGAAGGGTAGTTACAGCAGTGATCTAATAATTTTGGGTGATAAGTGAATACATATTATGAACAACTACTATATATCATGAAGGAGTGACGCCACAGTCACCGGATGTTTCCGAGATATATTTAGCTGCTTTTGAGTAGTAGGAACCGCTCTAGTTTCACCAACCTCATGTTGAACATAGCTGAGTAGAGGCAAACTGATCTGCACATTTTGTAACCTGTTTGCAGCGCTTACATCGGCGAGCACAAACTACAACAATCGTTAGTGCAATTTATGCATTTACGTTAGCATTGATCCTTAACACTGCTTATTGTGGGTGTTCAAACGGGTAATTGTTAGTTTTGATGAATACGGAAGGGCAACTTTACAGTGAACATCGATTGGACAATGATTTATCACGGGCAGAAAAGCAAGTGCTTTACAAGTCCCATAGGGTGCCTGGGGTCAAAAGTAGACTATCAAAAAAGATAAGAGCCGTTTGTTCAATCTTCTCTTGAGCAAAGGCACCAACGAAGAGTAATTTGTGAACTAATTGCAAGCATGCAATACAAACTAGGGGGAGTTATAACTGACATATTCATTGAGCAATATAGAAAATACAGCTCACACATATACCGCATCCTTAAGTTCATTTGACACATATAGCCGGTATAATTGCATGAGTACGCTATTCCGAAGTAGCACAGCTTAGGTAATGAAATGATGGGAGTCAGGGACAACTACTGCCAGTGTTCCAGGGTCTGAAGTTCATTGCTAATATAAAGTATTCATTCACTTCAGGAGAATTACCTTTGCATCGCTGAAACACTCTTCGCGAAGACCTTCACTAAAAGCTGATCTTAATAACAATTAAATTACCTGGATAAGAGGCGTTAAACAAAGATTTATTGTGAGTAAATTTCAACCAACGCAGATGTCAGCAAGAGTCAGAGAAATCTGCGGGTAAGGCACAATAAATTGATATATAATGTCGGAGTCAAAGCAGGGCACGCTGTTCTTCAGGTAGAGAAGACCTCCTCCAAGTAAATTAATGTAGCATACCGTCTATTCTAAGCACGTAACAGCAGCGTTTCTGTTAAATCAATCATCTGGCTGGATTACTTTTATTGCCTATTGCCAGTTGTAAAATCGACTGATTTGACAAAAGTTCAGTAGTTAATTTTCCACAAAACAAATATCAACTGACCTGTCACAGATCAACAAATGTTTGCCTCCAAAACATGTCTTTAAACTCTTTGGTACCGTCTGACATAAAAGCTTGCATATATAAAATCCTCCATAACAAACCAACCGAACTTCGACTTCAACAGTCAGCATAAGTTTTTGAACATACATACAAAATTGACGGAAGCGGAAACTACGATACCAGATAGGTCACGCAACGTAAATGAGCACTCTTAATATAAGATTTGTACTCATGTGCTACTACATAAACCTACAGCAACAGCTAGTGGATGACCAGTGGACAAGAATTACTAACTCGGTTTGCTGACGTAAGCGATTTAGTTAAAGAAAGATTTCCGTTGTGGCAGCCGTTTATCTCCTTCGAATTTTACCCCAAAAGTGGATCACAGTCTTATAGTATCCCCACGATAAATTCAGGTAGAACCGTATGCTTAAATTAAGCAGCATCAACGTTCTTGAAGTATAAGACCTGGCAATTCAAGCGAACAGTTTAGGGAAGATCTGTATGAGCTCACTGCATACCTTCCATTGTTCAAATTAGTCTCTTTCTCCTTAGATTCATTTAGCAGACGAGCCACCGGCACTATCAAAAGTGATTGGGAAAAAAGAGCTCATGCGTGATATGCCAAAGGATGAGTGTCCACTGGTGCCTAGCGGTAATTCAAGTCCTAGATGTCATGCCAATTAGTGAAAATGACATATAGACTTGAGTACAATAATTAGGCTTTTGGATATCTCACTTGTAGAGTAAGCTACGTAGGAGTTTTGGATAAAGAAGATTACGTTAGTATCTCATTATATGATAAAGTATTATGCCAGATGTGCAAAGGAACACAAAATTGTAAACTAGTACAACCGCGCCATTCGGTGTACCACCCATTTAGAAAATCACCTACGGGGCTTGAATGTTACTTTTAGGGAGAGTGTCTGGTTCGAGCTCGTTGGGACGTTCAGTGATACAATCACAACCGCGCAGATACATTCCACTAAGTCGCAAAGTTTCTTCAGAGGGATGAAATGAAAATGATTGAAGTAATGTAGGCAACGCAGCGTATATACTGTGCCAACCGTAATGTCAGACTAGCTCATTCACTGTATGAGATTTGTCCGCGACGAAAAAAAGACATCAGCATTGCGCATCATGAAAATCCTAATCAAATAGCGAGGATGCATTTGTGATTGCCGGCCTGTGAGCAAAAGGATCACACACTTACCTTGTAATCCGGATGTCTCGGGTGTGATCCTGCTTAGTGGACCAGGCGAATCTGGCAGAATCCCTAGCCCGCACATGACTGAATGTAGCTGCGTGGAAGCGAAGCGTCAGTACTGCATACCGGCCTCCTAAGGATGACCTATACATGCGAATATCAACTCTATTCGAGGAGTGGTGCATATCATCTTGACAGACTGAACGGCACAAAGCACTGGGGAAATCGGTGGACGACATACGGCTACAGTACTTAACAACCTTTTGACATACTACAAAATCTGACCTTTAGCAACCACCATCACGCTATCCTAGTAAGGTAGCCATGGGGAATAACGATATTGTTGCACCCGAAACCCCACAACGAGGGACGAATAAGCTTGTTGTGGGTTCGACCCATCTTGCACATCAACCTTGACCTAAGGACTGAGAGTGAAGTTATCGCAAATTAAGTTACTAGATTAATAATGTGACATGCACTGCCGCAACTTAGCCACAGCACCAAACTAGATGGGGCACCGGATAAAATTGCCCCGCAGTATATTCGCTTGCGATTTCGAATGGCTTAGTTCCAAAGGCACAACTTGCAGTGTGAAACGGATGTGTGCCTCGAAGGTTAATGGTTCAGTCGTTGATCTAACGTGGCTCACAGTTGACCCTGTGCTGCACCTCAGCTATTGAATGGATTGGGGAATTCTGCCAAATATGCCTGTTCCATACTTCTTAACTTCCCGATGGAAAGGGGCTTTCGAGGGGCATCTAGCGTCTGCTTCGCGCCGCTATCAAAGTGCGAGCAATTGCGTCGGATTCGCACCGGTTGCTCTCTCTAATTGTCTCCGTCAAGTTTTTGTAGCGTAAAAGCAATGGTGTGCACTCACATTTTTCAAATTTTGAATAATTATAATCTACATGTTGATGGTTACCGCGACCATGGGCGCTGCAATAGATGGTCTGAAGGCTAGATGGTAATTACTGGGCCTAACGACTGCTGCGAGAAGGTTAGTCAGTAGTACGCTACCCAAGTTCCATTCCAAAGATCACTGTGGTGTAGTTTTCTTGAAGATTCACTCTGCAATGATCTAGTAAACTACATTATTTCTAGGCTTATGATTCTCTAGCTCTTAGATCCTAATGGGTATACTTACAACTCATTCCCACGAAGTCAACCGCCGGTCAAAACAATAAAGATCGAACTAATTATAGAAAATAGTTTTACTTTCTTCCTTAAATAGTTTTACTGTTTGATGACAATCGTTGACGTATTACTTTTTCCAGAGGACGTCCCATCTAAAAGCATATTGTCAGTCGGACAAAACGATGTTTAATTACCTTGTTTAATTTGCTGATCGAT